CGTCCTAGCATCTTTACTGCTCCTTCGAGTGCTTTAGACAGGGATACTTCATATGATGATCCTGAACTCAACGACAATGCTCCGTCGCGTTGTGAAAGTGCCAATTGACTGATGGCATTTGTTGTTACACGACTGTTCTGTACTAGCTGAGATAGGATATCGGCAGTAGGGGTCATGCCTAGTCCATCATCTGAAGGTTGCATCCGAGGGCCAATGGGTGATCCATCTGATCCACTTGCTCCGGGTGAGCCTGTTGCTTCCATAGCTTCGGTCCTGACAATCATGGTCATGAGTACAACCATCTTGATGTTCCTTCTGCATTCGCTTACTTTCCGTCTCCACCGGATACTGTGCATACGATTTACTTTCCTTCTCATAAAGGCGTTCTGAACTGTGCCTTTTTGTGCCGTTCCCATGCAGCTCTGTCCTAATTTTGCGCAGTTGATGGACAACTGAAGAAATATGAGTACAAGCAGCTCAAGCGCCGCGGTAGGCATTCTGCCTACGCTCTGATCCAGTGCTTTCCTGAGTAGTTTCTGTACACTCCTACTCATCATCCGAATCATCCTGCTGTTCTTGTACTGGGTCATCACATACTGCTTCTGACGTTTCACTGGACTCTTCACTGCTGGAGTCTGATCCTGCTTCGTCTGGTCCGGGTCCAGCTTCTGCTTTAGCCTTTGCTTCTCCTTCAACCGCTTCAGGCTTAGTTCCTGCTTTCGCCTTGGATTCTTCTTCTTGGCGTTTCTTTTCGTGGTACTCTTCAAGCTTTTCCTTCTTGTGTTCTTCAAGTTTCTGACGAAGGGCTTCTTTGGTCGCTTCCTTTCCTTCTTCTCCACGGCGAGGACGGTTCTCCCAATGTTCCTTTCCTTCTTCTCCACGGCGAGGACGGTTCTCCCAATGTCCTGCTGGTAAGGTCGGCTTACCGGGGGTTTCCTGGTTGGCGTCCACATCGATCGTCTCTTTCGTTCCTCCTTCGAGCAACTTGGTTCGCCTCTTCTTGGCTGAATCTTGCATCTCCAAGAGTTCTTCTGTGTACTTCGTAGTACTTTCCCCTGAGTCAGAGGGTTTTGCTTTCGACTTTGTTCCCGCGTGGGAAATCGCTTCTGTAGGGGATACAAAGATACCTTTTCCTCTTTCCTCTGCTGGGGGTTCAATCTCCGGGTAGTTCTCTGGGTTCTTCTTCTTTTCATCCTTGTACTTCTTCTTGTTGATCTCGGAGATCTTACTATCAACGGCTCCATAGTCCGCGAATACCACAGCTGGGTAGTATCGCCGGAACTCATCCCTCTCTTCCTTGTACTTTTCGCAGATGACGTTCCGCATCGGGTAGAACTTCCGGAGTTTCCTTCCTGGCACCAACACTGTGAGTGCTGGCTCCCACAGCTGGGATACCAGATCCTTGAGTGGACAGTCTCTCCTCCAGTGGCCTCCAGTCCAGCATATAGAGCACAGTTCCTTACTCGGCGGCAAGCTTCCTTGGATGGTGTACATTCCATGCTTTCCTGGCTTCTCCATGCATCCTCTTCCAAGGGGGTAGCAATGCCAGTCATCCATCGCCTTACTCTTTCCTTTGACTTCCGTGTTTTTCCAGACCAGTCTGAGCCCAAACTTTTCCTGTAACCTTTCTTCGATGGTATGGAATTCCTTGCTCGAGCGAAACTGCCATCCGAACTTCCTGGTGACATATACTTCTTCGTTCTCGCTCTTCCTGAATCCACGGTACGACAGGTCCAACAGTTCCTTTCGTACCTTCTCTTGCCATTCTGGAGAGAACGGATAATGGACACAGTCCAAGAACTTTTCATCTGACGCGAGTTTCCTTTCCGCCTTCCAGGTGTCTTCGGAAACTTGTTCGGTCCATTCTTTTCCTGGTTCCTCTTCAGCTGGTTGTTCTCGAAGTTTTCCAGATGTCTTCTCCTGTTCGGACTTGCTGGGTTCCCGCTCTTTCCGGGCTTGTTGGGTTTCCTTCTCCTGCCTGAGTTTCTCTTGCAGTCCCGCTGGGATCTGGGGTCTTGCTTTAACTCGAGGGATTTCAGGTCGTGTACACTTCGCCTTCGCCTGGGCGTACACCTTGGTCCTTTCATCTTCCCGGCCAAATTCGATAGCTGCTTCCAGTGCTTTCCCCATACTCTTCTGGAGTACTTGGGCACTGTCTTGAACTTTCTGGAGTGCAGAAATGAAAGCTTCCTGGGCTTGCTCAGAATCCTTGCACGCAGATAAGTACACAGCTTCTGCAGCTTTAGACTTCTTCTGCTGCGTCGGCTGTCCATGGATGTAGGCTTCCACCAGTTCTGCGGATTTCTGTTCAAACCATGATGCTCCTTTTTCAGCTTTCTCCAGTTCGACTGGTACTTGCACCTTGGGGTTCTTTGCTCGCTGCTCTCGAGCTCTTTGCTCGGCTTCTTCCACAGCTTTGAGTCTCTTGGTTTCTGCTTCGAGCTCTTGTTGCCTTCTGGTGCTGGTTTCGGCCAAGACACGCTTCTGCTCCTCAAGCTCTTCAAGCTTGCGTTTCCTTGAAGCAGACTCTTCATCCTGTTCCATCTCTGTGGGTCCTTCTGGAGCTTCTGCTTGGGAATCTTCAGCTTGGCATTCTTTTCTAAGTTCCTCAAGTCCAATCTTTTCTTCTTGCCCTGCCGGGGGGCCATCATATACTGTTCTAGGTACATACTTGAGGTTTGAGATGATTTGATCGATGAGAGAGTAGAAATTCGGTCTGTGAGATGAGTCCTGTCGAAGGGCTTTATACTCCTTTTCAAGTAACATGACCGATTCGATGCAGCCTGCATGCTCCAGAGCCGTGTCGAGCTTTCTTCGCACTGGCTCTCTTTCCGCTTCAGACTCTCCGGCTTTTCTTGCACTCTTGTCCAGCTTCCTGTTTCTCTTTTCTTCTTTCCTCGCAGACTTCTTTTCTTCCTTTCGCTCTGCTTTACTCTTGGTCCTTGTGGCAGGCGTAGAGGTCTCTCCTGGGCGAGTGAATGACGTAAGGGACTGTCCGGTTCTGTCCACCGAGGGAAGGGAGATCCTTTCTGAATGTCTCTTCGGAGTAGGTCCACTTCTCGGTTCTTGTTGCTCCTCCTCACCGGTTTCAGCTGCTGGTACCACTTCTTGTGCAGGTGTTGTTTCTTTTCTTTCTTCTTCCTCTGGCTTCTCTTCACCGCGATCTTCCTGCTCTGGCTGATTCTCCATTGCAGGGCTACTTTTGGATATTCCCATACAAAATTCTTTCCTTGGTGGCGGGAAGTCACGCTGCCTTCGGCTTGGGGTGA